GGGATGTTCTTTAGTTTAAAAAATGACCACATATGGAAAGTATGTGATGAAGAGGCAATAAAAAATGGGATAAAAGTGGATTAAACTGGCAGAATTAAATAAAAATGTTTTATAAGATTTAAAAACATAATAAAACATCAAAAGTCTGAAAATAGAATCAATTGAGAGTTAAATAGAATTAAAGTGGTCTATGTTCCATGTTATTCAGAGATTGGTAAATCTATGGATTAATTCTAGTTGCTAGACTGGATGAAAAATTAGATGCTATTTACAACAGATAAATGTAAAAACAAGATATGGAGAAGATTGAAAGTAGAAATATGGGGAAAAAAACTTAACATGCAAATACCAACAAAAGGAAGTTATTCTACTTCTTCGTAGCGAACAAAATAGTATTTAAGGCAAAAATTATCTTAGCAGAAAATGAGTTACTTTATAATGATAACTTGTTGGATTCACCCAGAAAATAGAACTATCTATAATTGTCATGTGTGCAATAATATTGTCTTAGTATTATAATATATGAAAGTAAAATAAAGCAATAGACTATAAACTGGAGGCAGGTAAAATGGAGTTGTATTCCATGAATTGCCTGAGGAGAAATACAAGTTTTTGGTTCATATTAGAAATTGATAGGTTAAGAATGTATGTCTTTATTTCTAGAGTGATGATGAATAGAAAAGGAGAATAAATTAAAGACTAGTGAGGAAGAAAATAAAAAAGAACATTTAGTGTACACAGAAAGATTAAAAGAAAGGAGAAAAAATAGAAATATAGAAAACTCAGGGAAAATATAAATCATGTTAAACAATGATTGTGTTGGCCAAACGCAACAGCAATTAAGATTAAATTGGATTGAGAAGTTTTGCTCTTAGGGAGAAATTAATAAAGTCACAGAAAAGCAATGCCTTTGATGCAAAACCTAGAAAAACTTGATTTTGTTAAAATAATATTTCCAAAGCATTAGAGAACCAGAGAAATTACTGGTATCAGAAGAGTTGATATTCTAAAGAGAGAACAGGACAGGCTTTCTGTTTCTGGAGGAGGCCAATAATTGCCAGCCATTTCCTCCCTGGGTGCCTTTGTCAGTTTGGGACAGACTGGAAGTGAAGCTTGGCCCAGAAAGAAAGGCTCTCTGGGAAGTAATTGAATCAGCCAAACTAGCGGAGATTCTATGAATTACAAATTGGACTTTCAGGTGCCCCACATTTTCGTTCCCCCAATGGAGCATTGGAACACTAGAGCTTTGTGAGAGGTTGGAAAGCTCAGCTGAAACTTTTGAAAGGCAATAGGAGATTTCTCGTACTCTTGCAGTGCATAAGAAACAGATATGATAGTGACATGGAGCCTACCTCAAACACATAGACGGTCTCCCTTTTACTGAGAAACAGGAACAAACTAGGTATAGGTGGAATCATTACTAGCACTGAAACCCAGCCCTGAACCAGCTTAATGCCTTGTTATATTGAATTAATCATGTCCTCATCTCTTTGCTATCTGGAGAAAAGGAGAACTTTTTATACTGAAAGATAACATCACCTGGAGTCTCCAAAACCCATTTGCCCAATGTTTGGCATACAATAAAAATAACATACCATAAAATGAAACTTATAAGCAATGGACAAAAACAAAAAGAAAAAAGATAAAATTAGTGTAGCAGTCATTACTTGTGAGATCAGTTTCTTGAACACAGCAGATGGATGGGTCTTATTTTATTGCCCAACTTGCCACTCTGTGCCTTTAAGTGGGGTGTTAAGATCATTTACATTCAAGGTTAATATTGTTATGTGAGATTTTGATCCTGTCATGAAATTGTAAGCTGGTTGCTTTATCATTCCTATTGTGTAATAGCTTTAAAGGATCTGCGTGCTACGTACTTAGGTGTGGTTTTGTGGTAGAAGATATTGTTCTTCATCTTTATATTTAGAACTCCCTTAAAGATCTTTTGGAAGGCTGGCCTAGTGGCAATGAATTGCTTTAGCAATTGCTTGTCTGAAAATGATCTTATTTCTCTTTCAATTATAAAGCTTAGTTTAGCAGGGTATGAAATTCTTACTTGGAGTTTCTTTTCTTTGAGAATTAAATAGTCCCTCAGTCTCTTCTCCATTGTAGGATTTCTGCTGATAAGTCTGCTGTTAGCCAGATGGGCTTCCCTTTGTACCTCATCTAACACTTTTCTCTAGCTGCCTTCAATGTTTTTTCTTTAGGGTGTCGATTTTAGATATTTCCTAGCTTCTCTTTTGGGCATTTAGTGCTATAAATTTCCCTCTAGACACTGCTTTAAATGTGCCCCAGAGATTCTGGTATGTTGTGTCTTCATTCTCATTGGTTTTGAAGAACATCTTTATTTCTGCCTTCATTTCATTACTCTATCCAATAGTCATTCGGGAGCAGGTTGTTCACTTTCCATGTAGTTGTGCACTTTTGAGTGATTTTCTTAATCCTGAGTTCTAATTTAATTGCACTGTGGTCTGAGAGACTGTTAGGATTTCCGTTCTTTTGCATTTGCTAAGGAGTGCTTTACTTCCAATTATGTGGTCAATTTTAGAATAAGTGAGATGTGGTGCTGAGAAGAATGTATATTCTGTGGATTTTGGGGTGGAGAGTTCTGTAGATGTCTATTAGATCTGCTTGGTCTGGATCTGAGTTCACGTCCTGGATATCCTTGTTAATTTTCTATCCCGTTGATCTGTCTAATATTGACAGTGGGTGTTAAAGTCTCCCACTATTATTTTGTGGGAGTCTAAGTCTCTTTGTAGATCTCTAAGAACTTGTTTTATGAATCTGGGTGCTCCTGTATTGGGTGCATATATATTTAGGATAGTTAGCTCTTCTTGTTGAATTGATCACTTTACCATTACATAATATCCTTCTTTGTCTTTTTTGACGTTTGTTGGTTTAAAGTCCGTTTTGTCAGAGACTGGGACTGCAACCCCTGCTACTTTGTGCTTTCCATCTGCTTGGTAAATTTTCCTCCATCCCTTAATTTTGAGCCTATGTGTGTCTTTGCACATGCAGTGGGTATCCTGAATACAGCATACCAATGGGTCTTGACTCTATCCAATTTGCCAATCTATGTCTTTTAACCGGGGGCATTTAGCCCATTTATGTTTAAGGATAATAGTGTTATGTGTGAATTCAATCCATATTTAATAAACAGTGCTAAGAAAATTGGCTATCCATATGAAGAAAACTGAAATTGGACTCCTTCTTTATACCTTATACAAAAGTTAACTCAAGATAGATTAAAGACTTAAACGTAAAACCCAAGACCATAAAAACCCTAGAAGAAAACCTAGACACTACCATTCAGGACATAGGCATGGGCAAAGACTTCATGATAAAAATGCCAAAAGCAATTGCAAAAAAAGCCAAAATTGTCAAATGGGATCTAATTAAATGAAAGAGCTTCTGCACAGCAAAAGAAACTATCATCAGAGTGAACACACAACCTACAGAATGGGAGGAAATTTTTACAATCTACCCAGCTAACAAAGGTCTAATATCCAGAATCTATAAGGAACTTAAGCAAATTTACAAGAAAAAACAAACACTTCCTTCGATAAGTGGGCAAAGGATGTGAACAGATCCTTCTCAAAAGAAGACATCTATGCAGTCGACAAACATATGAAAAAAAGCTCAACATCCCTGATAATTAGAGAAATGCAAATCGAAACCACAATGAGATACTATCTCATGCCAGTCAGATGGTGATTATTAAAAAGTCAAGAAACAATAGATGCTGGCAAGGCTGTGGAGAAATAAGAATGCTTTCAAACTGTTCATGGGAATGTAAATTAGTTCAACCATTGTGGAAGACAGTGTGGTGATTCCTCAAGGATCTAGAACCAAAATTATCATTTGACCTAGCAATCCCATTACTGAGTATATGCCCAAAGGAATATAAGTCATTCTATTATAAAGACACATGCACATGTATGTTTACTGCAGCACTATTTACCATAGCAAAGACATGGAACCAACCCAAATCCACATCAATGATAGACTGGTTAAAGAAAAGTGATACATAGAACCATGGAATACTATGCAGCCATAAAAAATGAGATCATGTCCTTTGCAGGGACAGGGATGAAGCTTGAAGCCATCATCTTCTGCAAACTGACATAGGAACAGAAAACCAAACACCACGTGTTCTCACTCATAATTGGGAACTGAACAATGAGAACACATGGACACAGGGAGGGGAACAACACACACTGGGGCCAGTGAGGGTGTGGGGGGAAGGGGAGGGAGAGCATTGAGACAAATAGCTAATGCATGTGGGACTTAAAACCTAGATTATTTGGGTTGATAGGTGCAGCAAACCACCATGGTACATGTATACCTATGTAGCAAACCTACATGTTCTGCACTTGTATCCTGGAACTTAAAGTTAAAAAAAGCTAATCAACTTTATAGTCAATAACTGCTTCTCTGTACTATCATAGAAGACACTTACTGACCCATCTGTTGCCATACAAAAAGCACTCACATGCCTACAGCCATACAAAGCAGAGAAACACTGCACACAATTAGCATTCACGGACAGAACGGGGACCTGAAGAGGCATTTTATGAGGCTGCCATAATTGGAAGTTGGACTTCTAAGTGGAAAGAACATTGGAAAAGTAAATAGAATTTGAGATGCACCTTTTCATTTAATGTGATGTACTGTCAAGACAAGTCCCACTTTTATCTCTACCCAGTTAGATCAGTGTTTGTGCTAAATGAAAGAATTAGCTTCTAACTCTAACTCTTAGTTACCAGCTAGAACCTTAAACAAAATTTGATGTCATGACACAGAAAAGTACTTAGGGTCAGAACTTGCAATAAAAGGTGGAGGGTAGAGAAGGGAACATTTGTCTGGAACCCTTTCTATATGCTTTTTTATGTTCTCCTAGATATGATAGCAGTGGACCAGGCACTCTTAAAGTAAAAATTCTTGTCTTAGTCATAATAGGCAGCTCCAAACAATGGTGTTTGTTTTTGGTTTTTGGCATGGAAAAACACATAGACACACAAATGTTCAGGTGAGATAAAATTTAGCTTACATATTTTAGTACATCAGAGGAAGACAGACGAAGAACTTAAGTCCAATTAAGAGAATCCTTGTATCTTCTATACATTTCTGTCTACACATTTCTAATTGTAAGGCAACTATCTTGGCTGTTGTTTTGGTAGTAGCAATCATGTCCATCCTAATTGTCATCCAATCCCTGATGGAATTTTCCTGGTGAAATTGGATTGGTAGAATAAACTCTTTGGATATTATTTCCAGCAGTATTTCTAATTTTCCATACTAGCAGTAAATGCTAATTGATTATTAGTAAGAGCTGTCTAAGGAGATGATGGCGTAGTAGTCTTGGAAGTAGTGGCCTTGGGTGGTGGCATAGTAGTCTCAACAGTAGCGGTCTCGAGTGCCGTGATTTCTGCAGAATTAGTTGTTCCAAATGTTACCAGATCATTCAACCTAGATACTGGGGAGCCAGTAAAAGAGTCCACATAATTATAATCAAATGTTATATCCTCTAGGTGAATCACAGGAAATGCTGGTCGTTGAGTGTATTCATGTGATATTATTATGGAAATGCAGCATGATAGCTTGTTTCTACAAAGAAGTATGTACCTTTCAGTATCTAAACATCGTCTTCTGCAATATCCTATATTATTCTTCCAACATTTTTGGGGTGCAAAGCTACCTGTAGAGAGTAAAATATAGGTCAAATTTTTAACTCTGGCATCAACAGAACAATTTTACATTCATTCAAAAATTTACAAGTACTACCACTGACATCAAGACTAATGTGATGTCAAATACAAAATGCCGTTAAAAGAGACAGACAGGAGAACAGAAGGTATATATTAAAGTTGTGCTATGTGCCATCAAAGAATTTGGGTGGAGAAAAGGAGAAAGGTAGAAAAAGGGAGGGAAGGGCAGAGAGGGAGGAAGGGAGGAAGAGAAAAAGAGCGAGCGAGAGAGAGAGAGTGCGCATACTTAAACTGATATGAAGCCTGGATAAGAAGGATGAAAATGAAAAGCCCAGCACGAGATGGATTCACAGCTGAATTCTACCAGATATACAAAGAAGAGCTGATAGCCTTCCTACTGAAACTATTCCCCCAAAATTGAGAAGGCAGAACTCCACTTTTACTTATTCTATGAGGCCAGCATCATCCTGAGACCAAAACCTGGCAGAGAAACAAGAAAAAAAAATTCCAGGCCAGTATCCTTGATGAAAGTCAGTGCAAAAATCCTGAACAAAATACTGGCAAGCTGAATTTAGCAGCATATCAAGGATGCAAGGTTGGTTCAACATACACAAATAAATAAATGTGATTGCTTATGGTTAGCATTTAAAGTACAGAAATTGATAAACCAAGGTGGGTTCGAATAATATGAGAAAAAAGAGGACCAGAATTGAATTCTAGTGAGTTTCAATTTTAAGAGATCAGATAAGAGGAAATTACTTAAAAGGATCAATAGGATAAGTCAGAGCAAAACAGGAGACTAAGACACTAGAATCTTAAAGTGGACCCCCAGCAAAGCAGAGCCCCAGCAAAGATTTGAGTATAATAGTTTAGTTGAGAGGCAATTCCTCCCTCAAAAAAAAATCAGTGGAGAAATATAGAAATCAGGAAAGCAAGAAATCCAGGAAAAGGTGAATTATAACCTGTTATCATAAGTTCATCTCTATCAACTGCTGGCCAGCAGCATGGCTATGTTCTGTTTACCCAGAGCACAATCCCACAGAGAAGCCCAGCAGCTAGGCTACAAACAAGCTCAGACTCATGGTTGAGCCTGGAGGACATCTCACATTCTGTTAAGTGAAATAGACAGACATAGATAAACACCACATGTTCTCATTCATAAGTAGGTGCTTAAAAAGTTGAGTTCATCGAAGTAGACTGTAGAGTAGTGATTACTGCAGGCTGGGAAGGGAAAGGGGGATAGGGAAATGTTGGTTAACAGGTAGAAAATTACAACTAGATAGGAGGAAAAAGTTCCAGTGTTCTGTAGCAGGGGTCTCCAACCCCCAGGCAGCTAATGGGTACTGGTCCATGGCCTCTTAGGAACCAGGCCACAGCAGGAGGTGAATGGCAGGTGTGCGAGAATCACCGCCTGAGCTCCACCTCTTGTCAGATCAGCCGAGGCATTAGATTCTCAGAGCATGAACCCTATTGTAAACTGTGCATGTGAGGGATCTAGGATGTGTGTTCCTTGTGAGACCGTGGCTACTGCTTGATGACCTGAAGTGGAACAGTTTCATCCTGAAACCATCCCCACCACCACCTTCACCCCCTTGGAAAAATTGTCTTCCATGAAACTGGTCCCTGGTGCCAAAAAGTTTGGGGTCCATTATTCTATAGCACTGTAGGGTGATGGTAGTTAACCATTGTTTATTGTATATTTTCAGATAGCTAGAAGAGAGGATTCTGAATGTTCCCAACATGAAAAAATGACAAATGTTTGAGGTGATATGAGGTGATGGATATGCTAAGTACCCTGATTTGATCATTACACATTGTATACATGTATCAAAATATCACTCTGCATTCTTCTAAATATGAACAATTATTATATGTCAACTAAGCGTAAAAGAAAAAAATAGCATTTAGTTTTTACAAACAAACAAAAAACTTAAAAAAAATGTTTAATTGTGCATTAGTCCCCGAGGGTGCAGAGTTACAGAAAAACCTTGAAGAACAGAAGGGTGCACAGTTATAGTAAAAAACTTGAAGAACTAAAATCCATTTACGTTTTCTCCCCATAATATTCTTGAACTGCAAGTAAGGGAATTACCACAAGAAAAAAAAAATTACCAAGCCCCAAAATTATTCTACACCAGCCTCAAAGGACCTGGACTATGTATCCAGCTTCCTGTTAGCCCATAGATGCTAGATGATCCCAGAGACTGCTGATAATTTTCTGGCATTTCTGGATTGCCCTGTACAAGGGTATTTCACAAGCAGCTGGTGAGAGACTGGGGATACTGACAGTTGTAGATCTGGCTGATAAGCATAAAAACAGCACTTGCATAGAGGTTATATGGAAAGTTTTATCAGATACAATTATATTAAGCATGAGAGGAGAATGTTTCTTAAAGAACAGAGTGGTCATTTTGTGGGCAAATACTGCTGAGAGGTTAAAAAAGATGAAGGCAGGGGCCGGGCATGGTAGCTCACGCTTGTAATCCCAGCACTTTGAGAGGCCGGGGTGGGCGGATCACCTGAGGTCAGGAATTCGAGACCAGCCTGAACAACACAGTGAAACCCTGTCTCTACTAATTAGCTATGCGTGGTGGTAGGTGCCTGTAATCCCAGCTACCAATTAGGCTGAGGCAGGAGAATTACTTGAACCCAGGAGGCAAATGTTGCAGTGAGCTGAGATCACACCACTGCACTCCAGCCTGGCTACAGAGTGAGACCCTGTCTCGACAACAACAACAAAGATGAAGGCGGGAAAACGTCCATGCTTTTAATAGTATGAAGGTCACTTCATACTGAAGAGAGCAGCTTCTGAGTGGCACGAGAAAAGAAACTAAATTGAAGTTGGTCAAAATGTGAGTGAGAGAGAAGTGAATGTAGGACTTGTAGGATGAAAACCTTAAGAAGTTTAGCTCCAAAGGAAAGCAAAAAAATAAATAACTTGTTAGAGGGCAATGTAAGGTTAAGGGAGTGTTTTCAGGTTTGTTTTGAAGAATGAAAAATATCAAACCATGTTTGCAAGCCATTAAAAAAGAAACAAACAGGCCGGGCACAGTGACTTATGCCTGTAATCCCAGCACTTTGGGAGCCCGAGGTGGGCAGATCGTCTAGGTCAGGAGTTTGAGACCAGCCTGGCCATGGTGAAACCCTGTCTCTACTAAAAATACAAAAACTTAGCCAGGTGTGAAACTTCCAAGTGAAGTTTCAACTACTTGGAAGGCTGAAACAGGAGAATCACTTGAACCCAGAGGGCAGAGGTTGCAGTGAACCAAGATCGTGCCACTGCACTCCAGCCTGGGCAACAAGAGCAAGACTCCATCTCAAAAAAAAAAAAGAAAAGAAAATGAGATAAGCAGAAAAGAAGAGATTAATATAGAAGAGGGTGATGAGATGACAGAAGGGCATAGTCACAAATTCACACAATGCAGACTGATCTTTAGATGGAGAAGATACACTTCTCTATAGCAAAGGGGGCAGAGGAAATGAGTAAGAAGTTCCTATTTGAATTGTTTAAACAAATGGAGCATGGGATAAGCTGAGGGGGAGAGCCACGTAGAGAAGAGGAGCAGGCAAATTAAAGACAAAGATCAGGATAAAATACCTGTCTAAAAAAGAGGGAAAGTGACTGAGTGTGGTGGAATCCCAGCACTTTGGGAGATTGAGGCGGGTGGATCACGAGGTCAGGAGATGGAGACCATCCTGGCCAACATGGTGAAAGAAACCATGTCTCTACTAAAAATACAAAAATTAGCTGGGGTGTGGTGGCACATGCCTGTAATCCCAGCTACTTGGGAGGCTGAGGCAGGAGAATCACCTGAAACGGGGAGTTGGAGGTTGCAGTGAGCCGAGATCGCACCACTACACTCCAGCCTGGCAACAGAGCACGACTCTGTCTCAAAAAAAAAAAAAAAAAGGAAGGTTCATTTACAAGAGAAGTGCAGTAGCATTTCTAAGCAGTGTGACTACTCATTTGAGGGGTGAGGATATAAATCTAAAGGGAAACTAGTGTGCTGCATTGTATGTTCATTTATCAACCATTAAACTGCAGGATCATCTTTCTCAAGACATGTGCCCAAGGAGTACCTAGATAAGTGTATTCTAGGCAGAGGAAGCAGCTAGAGATAAGGCTCTATGGAGGAGGAAGCCTGACATATATACAGAAGAGCAAGTAATTCTCTAAACAACATTGCTTGAATGTAATGTGATAACATGCATAAAGCATATATAGATGTATGTATGTATTAGGCTCACAATAATTTGGTTCATATTTTATCCTCTGGAAAATGTTGACTCTAGTCCCACTTCACCAATTGTTTATTCTACCTTCCCTCTTCTACAGCTATTTATTCTATCTTTGTTATTTTACTGGCTCCATTTTACTTTGTACTTCGTGGAATTTTCTATAAATTTCAAGTCTAGACCTTCCACTTCTTTCGTGCAAGACAAACTCTAACCTTGCTTCTTCATTTCTCACATCTACAAAGACTTATATCTTAATTTTTTCCTCCAGTATTATCCATACTTAAAATATGTCATCTTGGCTCTCTTCTTCTTCTTTGCCTTTGCATCACCTTGTTCTGTCATTTATTCTTCAAAATTTTCATTTACATTCCCTTTTGCCTGTTTTAAATTATCCCCTCCAGACTTAAATTAGGCTACCGTCACACAGTCATCAAAGTTTCAGACCCCTACTGTGGTGCGGGCACCATCCTGGGCCCTTGAGGTACATCCGTGACTAAACAGACAATAATCACATGGAGCTGACTTTCTAGCAGAGGGAGACAGACAATAAAAAGTAAGTGCACTCCCTGCTAGACTGTATGGTTTACAGATTTAAATATAAGACCTAAAACTATGAAACTACCTGAAGAAAACACTAGGGAAACACTTCAGGACATGGATCTTGGCAAAGATTTCTTGGGCAAGACCTCAAAAGCACAGACAGCCCAAGCAAAATTAGACAATTAGGATTACATCAAACTAAAAAGCTTGATCACAGCCAAGAAAACAATCAACAAAGTGAAGCGATAACCCACAGAATGGGAGAAAATATTTGTAAACTATTCATCTGACAAGCAATTAACAACCAAAAATGTATTAATATAAGGAGCCCAAACAGCTCCATAACAAACAAAAACAAATAATACGATTTTAAAACAGGCAAAAAGATCTGAATAGACATTTCTCAACAGAAGACATACAAATGGCTCATATGTATACATGAAAATATGGTAAAGACATGGTAAAGATGGTAATTTACATATGTATATTTTACCTCAATAAAAAACAAAGTACATTATTTTGTAGATGAAAAGGTGGTAAATGGTTTGCAGACAGAATAGAGAGTAGATTTAAGAGTAATAGAAGATTCATAAACAGGAGTTGCACAGGCCTGTGTAACAAGGTGATTATTGAACAACTTGAAGGAGGTAAAGGAATTAGTCACACCAGTGTCCGAGGCAAGGGCACTCTAAGCAGGGGGAACAAACAGAGCTCTCTGGGTTGAGTAAGTCTGACGTGTTTGGGGAAGAGCACTGGGGACAGTGTGACTGTAGTGGAGTGGACAAAGACTATAGTAGTATACCAGTATATACTAGTATAGTATAGTACTAGAGAGAGGTCATAAGGGCCAGATCCTGTAGGGCCAGGTGAGCCACTGTATGAACTCTGGTTATTGTTCTGAGTGAAAAGGGGACCATCACAGAGTTTTGAGCAAAAGTACATGATCTGACTTCCTGTGTAAGTGGATCACGCACTATGTGTTTTGACAAGATAGTGGAAGGCAACAGCAGAAGGAGAGAGATCGTGAGGAAGCTATGACAGTAGCAGGTGAGAGATGATGGTGACTAGAATCAGAATGGTAGCAGTGGAGGTGGCAAGAATAATTGCATTCTGGATATAATTTGCAGGCAGATGTAATAGACTTCCTGATAGATATGAGTGTTGTAGATACAGAAATACCAAAGAAAATCCCAATAATTTGGTTTAAGCAGCAGAATGATGGCAATTGGGAATAATTTGTAACTTAATGTTTTTTTTTTCTAGAGTGACAACAGTCATTTTTTTTTTCAAAGAGTTTCAGTCCAGAATTATTATATTATTAGGACATGTGGTCTTCATCACCAGTGTCTCAAAATCCTGAAATTAGAAATATGACTAGCAATTGTATGTTTCTAAGTAGGGTAGCCATCTAGCCAAAACATTATCCCATGTGTGGAATTCTTTCTAAAACATACCAGATATAGAATCAGCTAGCATCAACTTAAAACATATCTATTGATAGCAGTCTACTGATAGCTTGGCTTTGTAATAAGTTGTTTCACAAGCCATCAGGTCCTGTCTCACTTGCAAACACATAATATAAAGCCCAGAGAGACTAAAGAGTTAAATTTCAAAACAAACCTATAAGAGCTAACAAAAATGAAAATCTCTAAATCAACAGAAATGAAAACTAACCCTCCAAAATAAAAGGGAAAAGCAGGCATAGACAATTTGTAGAAAAGTAAAATATATAATAAACATATTTGAAGTTTGACTTTCCCATTACTCATAGACATAAATAATTTATTTACATATTATCTTTCATTTTTAAGACTTGGCAAGTATTCAAATATTGATAATACATAAAGCAGACAAGAAAAAGTACATCTCCAAGAATTTTATGCTGAATGATTTATGTATAAGAAAGGTTATGCTAGCCATTTTTGTCTATATAACATAAATGCACTTATTTATGTAAAAACAATTTGGCTAAGTAATTTGACCAGTATCCATGCAATAAAATTTTATACAGTCATTGGAAAACAGTTTTTGAAAAATATTTAGTAAATGGGAAAATACTAATAGTATAATAGAAAATTTGTAAGTAGGGTACACATTTTTATTCAAATACAACTGAGGAAGAACAATAGATCAAAATTTTTTATGTCTTTTTTAACTGCTTTACAATTTTTTACTACAATTTCAAAAGTTCAAAAATTTCAACAAACACAATAGTTCATAATCATAAATGAATGCAGATATTAATAATTCTATAACTCATGTTACATCAACATGTGAATCAAGACATAGCAGATCAAAGGCATAGTTTTATCCATTTAATGGTCATGAATAGCATCTTTCTAGGCAAAATATAACATCTCTGAATTTAACAAAAGTCAAATTTCTTAGTATATAAAGATAAATAAGAAAGTTTAGAAATCTAATGGACTAAATGTTCAAACTCATTTATAATTAAAGTGTCATGAATTCAAACAACAGGATGTAATTTTTACATATTGGACTGTAAAACCTGGAAGAATGTAGTAGAAGAAACAAAGGACTGATGAGGGTGTGGAAGCTGTTACTCTTGCAACTGGTGATAGGAGAGTGGTTCCACTTTTCTGGTAGGTGGTTTGACTGTGTGTGTGTGTGTGTGTGTGTGTGTGTGTGTGTGTACAGTCATAAATAGAAAGATATACAATTGTTTACAAATTTTTCTTGCTGAATTGTTTGTAATAATTAAAGACCTGTTTTTCATCAATATCGGAGTAATTAATGTGAGGAGATTCATCTCCTCCTCCTCAAAGTTTTACTTATTGATTAAAAACAATGAACTAGGTTTATGTATGGATAAGCTGTCTCTAATATCTCTAATATATTGCTAGTACATTGCAGAACAATCCACATGGTTCATTTGCAATTGGATTTTTAAAAATCTAAAAGGCATATGCATGTAAATAAATATACTTGTATTTGCTAGGATATATAATAAATTGGTAACATTCATTGATTCTGAAGGGTAAGGCTGAAGAACTGGTATTCTTGGACAGGCAAACACTTTTCTTTTCCCTAAACCCTATAAATCTCTCAATTGCTTGATACATAAGTCAATTGCAAGTATTATTTTTAAATAAAATGTTAACAATTTTTAAAAGTAGCTTTATTAAATAGTGGAAACAGGCTGTTCCTATTCCTCTAAAATTAGAAGCTCCCCATTGGTCACTAGTCTTTCTATCTTGTCTTCACGCCACTTATTTCCACTTCTACCCCAAACATATATGTTGTCTCTTCCATATGATAGAGCTACAGAATCTACAGACTGTAAATGGACTTGTTCACCATATCTAAGAACATGAAAATGAGGGCCTCCCCTCTGAAGGTACTCTCAGGGCAAAGACGAATTCAAGATGGTAGAAGAACTGATAGGACACAACAATGAAATGGATACAACAACATAATAATCAAAATAGAAGTGAAGTGAGGCTAAGCTAACATTGGATAGTTATATAGAGAGACAGATAGGGTGGCTCAGAGTACTAAGGAAATTCTTGTCTTTGGATAAATGTCTCAGAGAACATCCCAGCTTTCTAGATGCCCCTAACAGAAAGATTCTCAGAGACTGGAGACATGGAGCTGCCAAAACAAAGCATTTCTGCTGCTCTTTATTGGTCCAGGTTTTTCCTGTAGATTCCCTCTTCCCCATCATGATACCATGGGAGCCCAAAAGCAACAACTCATCCTAGTTCCATCAGCTCTGCTTTATAAGGTTCCATTACCTTTGGTTACCTGAGTTAGCAACGCACAGATAACAAAGGTCAGCATCAGGAGATTCATGGCTCCTGGGAGAGAGGAAGCTCTGTGTCCTGAGGAATACAGAGCACTGCACAGCAAGGAATTTAAGTGGTCACCTTCACTAGTCTATCATGGGTGATGAACCAGAGAAGGGGGAAATGCCATGCCACCCAAATCACCAGGCCATTAATTTGCAACACTGAGTGTGCATGACACAGTAATGTCTGCTTCTAGAAATTATTAAAGAAAACTGAGGCCTTATGAGATAAGCTATTATCCTGTAGAACTGTAAGGTCTGATGGAAAGCAACAGCCCCAAGAAATTTTTGTTAACTTGGGTCAATTGCCTTGAGGTCAATTGCCTTTCTCCTCTGCCTGTATGCAACACTTTGTACGTACCCAAGGACAGCAGAATGGTGTGTAAAGATATCACTTGTGGCAGTCCAATCAATCCAGCAATCTCACTGCTGGGTATATACCCTCCCCCCTGCAAAAGGAAATAAGTATATTAAATAGATATCTGCACACCTGTGCTTGTTGCAGCACTATTCACAATAGCCAAGATCTAGAAGCAACCTAAGTGTCCATCAACAGATGAGTGGATAAAGAAAATGTGGAACTTACACACAGTGGAGTACTATTTAGCCATAAAAAAGAATGAGATGCTGTCATTTGCAATAACATGGATGGAACTGGAGGTCATTATGCTAAGTGAAATAAGCCAGACACAAACATTGTATGTTCTCACTTATTTGTGAAATCTAAAAATCAAAACTATTGAATTCACAGGAGATAGAGTAGAAGGATAGTTATCAGAGGCTGGGAAGAGTGGTGGGCATGCATGGGGAGGTGGGGATGGCTAATGGGTACAAAAAATAGTTAGAAAAAAAGAAATAAGACCTGGTGTTTAATAGCATAGCAAGGTGACTATAGTAAAAAATAACTTTACTGTACATTTAAAAATAGTGAAAAATGTATAATTAGATTATTTGTAACACAAAACATAAATGCTTGAGGGGATGGATACCCTACTTTCCATGATGTGGTTATGCATTGCATGCTTGTATCAAAACATCTCATGTACCCCACAAATATGTACACCTACTATGTACCTACAAAAGTTAAACATTTAGGAAAAAAATGAGTAGAATATTTTGGCAGAAGATAACACAGACTTCTCCTTAGTATATTTATAGTTTTGATGAATTTTGTTTTGTTTTTGAAAAACAAGGAATCTCTAATGTTCTCATCTGTCAGAGATGTAGTGGTGAAATTGGAGAAGTGAGTTTAAAAAGTGGAAGCTATAAGGGAAAACCAGGAGCTTGATTAAGAATTTTCCATGGAGATGAGGGAAAAGTGACTTTCCAGTTGAGAGATGCAATATGATCTGCCAAATTCAGAGATCACAAAAAGGTTGTCAGAAAAATGTATAGCAGCATGTGGGTGCTCTTGGACCACTCAAGCACCACCTACTTGAGAATACCAATCTGTGAGAATGACTTCCAAGGACAATGGCCACAGAGCCTTCCTTCCTTAGACTAGCTCAGCCAAGTCAGAGATGGATACCCCACCTCTGTGCATATGGTTTTGTTAGTGTACATATTCTCTACTCTGCCATTGGTAGCTACCCAGTTGGAGTATTTGGGGTAGGGTAAGGTGACATAAGGATAGGGGAGATAGAGAAGGTCAATATGGTGTTTTTTAGATTTTGTGTCACTAAGAAAATAATTAATAGTGATTCTAGTAATCTCCCTGAAAAATCAATGTAATTAATTATTTGAAAACCAATGGAAATAGAATCTCAGGACCAAGAAAATTAGACTCAGCTATAAAATAGATTTCATACTTGCACAGTTTGCATCTATTTTGCTATCACTGCACTTCCTTTTTGAAATTTCTGTATTTTAATTGAATTTTTAAAATCTTATCACACTTGGCCAGGTGCAGTGGCTCAGATCTGTAATCCTAGCACTTTGGGAGCCTGAGGCAGTAGGATCACCTGAGGTCAGGAGTTCGAGATCAGCCTGGCCAACATGGTGAAACCCCGTCTCTACTAAAAAATACAAAAATTAGCCGGGTGTAGTGATAGGTGCCTGTAATCCCAGCTACTCGGGAGGCTGAGGCAGGAGAATCACTTGAACCTAGGTGGCAAAAGTTGCAGTCAGCCCAGATCGCACCATTGCACTCCAACCTGAGTAACAAGAGCGAAACTCCGTCCTCCCACTGCCACCAAAAAAAATCTTATCATCTTTCTTCTTTAACCTGTATTGTCTCTATTTCTCTGTGGGATGTAATCAGATCAGAGGCACACACTAAATGTTAAAAGTGCTTTTATCCTGACTTATATATGTATATAGGTATATCTTATCAGTGTCTTAGAAAGGACCCTCTAATCTTAGAGTAGATATCAAATATTGGATATCAAATGCACAGCATAGCATAAAATCTTTGCCAAGGCACAGCATACATGATTGACCTGCCCATTTCTGTTGCTGAGGTAGGCATCTCTGTTTAATCACAGAACTCCTTCTCACTGAGGCTGAGCCTAAGTTCAGAATTCTTTCTAGGAAAGTTGGTGTCCTTATCATCTATAAGCTAAGCACAACCTCTACTTTACAGATGGAGAAATTGAGGCCGACATAAAGGTCTCAATGTGATCCTCTAGTGTGATCCAGGTTGTCTACATAAGCCGTGTCCAGAGAGACAATCTAATCCTAACTGCTCGTTTTATAAAAGAGCACATTCAGTCCTCAAGAAGGAAAATTATTTGCCCCAAAGTAAAATAATATGCCCCCGGTCACATAGTTAAAGAGCATGAAGCAAGACTTTCTCATTCCAATGGAGAAAATTATCTGCCCAGATAAGGGGGGAGAAAACAGAAGAAGCAATGATAACAGCAGAGAATGTCCAGAAGTTACCACAATGTTCTGAGAAAGGATCACACCAGTGACTTCTGTGCATGCCCTAGTGGTGGTAGCATTCGTAATCATAATGTGTTCTCATCTCTGGAATGCATCTGCCCTCCAGGAAGATCATCAAGTAGCTGATGTTACCAAATATTTGGGTGTAAGTTATTTGAAATCTGAAGATTGGGTGGTCTCTGAATCTGAGACAGCCTCAGATAAAAATGTTTCTTTCTTTTGCTTTTTTAATTTAAAAAATTTTTTCAGTCAGTCTACAGTTAGGGAACACTTCTTATAAATGGAACAAAGATAAGAAAGATAAAAGGCATCATCACACATAAGGCAATATGAGAGACATTGGAATGAAATTTTTAATATAAAAAAGAGGAAACACTTGTAATTTAGAATTTTTATACCCAATGAGAATATATTTCAAATATGAATACAAAGTAAAGAAATTTTCAGGCAAAGAAAAGCAGAGAATGTTCATCACTAACATATGTTCACTGCAAGAAATGTTGATAAAAGTTCTTTTTTTTCAACGTTTATTTTAGATTCAGGGGATACACATGCAGGTTTGTTACATAAATTGCTTGTCACTGGATTTGGTATAAAAATGATTTTGTCACCCAGGTAGTGAGCATAGTACCTGATGGGTAGTTTTTTGACCTTCATCCTCAAGTAAGGCCCAATGTCTATGGTTCCCTTCTTGATGTCCATGTGTACTCAGTGTTTACCTCCCACTTATGAGTGAGAACATGTAGTACTTGGTTTTCTGTTACTGCATTAATTCACTAAAGATAATGACCGCTAGGTGTATCCATATTGCTGCAAAAGGCATGGTTCCTTTTTTTGTGACTGCATAATATTCCACTGTGTGTGTGTGTTTGTGTGCGCATAGTATTCCACTATTTATATGTGTGTGTGTGTGTGTGTGTGTGCGTGTGTGTGTGTATGTGTACCAAACTTCCTTTATCCAGTCCACTTCAAAAAGGCGTCTAGGTTGATTCCATGTCTTTGCTGTTGTGAATAGTGCTATGATGAACATACAAGCGCACTTGTCTTTTTGGTAGAACAATTTATATTTCTATGGGCACATACCCAGTAATGAGATTGCTGGGACAAATGATAATTCTGTTTTAAGTTCTTTGAGAAATCTCCAAACTGCTTTTCAAAGTGGCTGAACTAATTTACATTCCCACCAGCAGTATATAAGTATTTCCTTTCCTCTACAACCTCACCAACATGCTATTTTTTACTTGTTAACAAAAGTCATTCTGACTGGTATCTCACTGTGGTTTTGATTTGCATTTCTCTAACAATTAGTGATGTTGAGCATTTTTTCATATGTTTGTTGATCACATGTATGTCTTCAAGGAGTGTCTGTTTATGTCCTTTGCCCTTTACTTTTTTTATCTTTTTTTTGTTGAGATGGAGTCTCACTCTGTTGCCCAGGCTGGAGTGCAGTGGCATAATCTCGGCTCACTGCAACCTCCACCTCCCAGGTTCTAGCGATCCTCCTGCCTCAGCCTCCCAAGTAGCTGAGACTACAGGCACATGCCACCATGCCTGGCTAATTTTTGTATTTTTAGTAAAGACAGGGTTTCACCATGTTGGCCAGGCAGATCTCGAACTCCAGAATAGACCATTTTTGTTGAGCATGCTGAAGTGAGAGTGATTAAGCCCCAGTATTATTTTTTTGTGGGTGAAATTTTTTAAATTGCCAAATAAAATTGTATATATTTGTGATTACAACATGATGTTGTGATAAATGTGTACATTGCGGAAAAGCTAAATCAAGCTAAATAACATGCATTCCTTCACGTAGTTATTTTTAATGGTGAGAACAAATAAAATCTACTCTTAGCAATTTTCATATGTGCAATAATTGTTATTAACCACAGTCATCATGATGTACAATAGATCACTTGAATTTGTTCATCCTGCCCCACTGAAATTTTGTGCCCTTTGACAAATATTTTCCCAGTCCTACCCACACCCAGCCTCTGGTTATCACCATTTTACTCTCTACTTCCATGACTTCAACTTTTTTAGATTTCAAATCTAAGTGAGATCATGTGGCATTTGTCTTTCTGTGCCGTGCTACTTTCACTTAACGTAATGTCCTCCAGGTACATTCATGTTGTTGCAAATGACAAGAATTCTTTTTATTGACAAATGAAATTGCATGTATGTATTGTATACAACATGATGTTTTGAAGTATGTTTGCATTTGTGAGATGAATAAATTGAGCTAATGAACATATGCATTACTTCACATACTTATTGTTACGGTGAGAACACAAAGTCTATGCTTTTAGTGATTTCCAAGCATGCAATACTTATTGACTCTGATCACCATGTTATACCATAGATACCTTGAATTTATTTCTCCTACGTAACTGGAATCTTGCATCATTTAGCCAAGATTTCTCTATCCTCATAACCACCCCGGCCCCTGAAAACCACTATTGTATTCTAGAGGTTCAACTTTTTTAGATCTTATGGAAAAGTGAAACCATGCATTTGCTTTTGGTGCTTTGTTTATTTCCCTAAATATAATGTACCCTTGATTCACTCATATTGCCGTAAAGGATTTTGTTAATGGCCAAATAGTATTCCATTGTGTGTATATACATTTTGTTTACTGATTTATTAGTGGATGAACAATTAGGTGGATTCTATATCTTAGCTATTGTGAATAATTTTGAAGTGAACATGCGAGTGCAAATATGTCTTAAGCATGCTAGTTTTATTTTCTTTGGACATATGTCCAGTACTGGAACTGTTGAATCATATGGTAGTTCTATGTTAATTTTTAAAAAATCCTCTATACTGTTTTCCATAAGGGTTTTATTAATTCACATTCACACCAACAGTATATAAGGGTTCTATTTCTTCACAGTCACACCATCACTTGATACCTTTTATTGTTTTGGTAATAGCTGTTAGTCCAAATTGCATCAGTTTGTAAGTTCCCTGCTATTTTTCAGACTTTAGTCAAAGTGAAATGTTTCACTTTGGAATATTTGTCCACCACAAGATTGACAAGGAGCTACTTTGGAGGCTGAGGCAGGAGAATCGCTTGAACCCAGTAGGCGGAGGTTGCAGTGAGCCGAGATCACGCCATTGCATTCCAGCCTGGGCAACAAGAGCAAAACTCTGTGAAGAAAGAAAGAAAGACAGAGAGAGAGAGAGAGAGAGAGAGAGAGAAGGGAGGGAGGCAGGGGAGAGAGAGAAAGGAGGGGAAGAGAGAGAGGAGGAAGGAAGGGAGGGAGAGAGAGAGATGGAGGGGAGAGAGAGAGGGGAGGAAGGGAGGGAGGGAAAGAGAGAGAGATGAGGGGGAGAGAGAAGAGGATGGGAGGGAGGGAGAGGGAGAGAGACAGGAAGAGAGAGAGAGAAAGAAAGAGAAGAAACCTCCCTATCTTATCTTGCTGGACAAAGGTCCAAGGAACACCATCCTGCCAGAACAAGGGCCAGAACCACCTATCATGGAAACATCTTATGAATATCCTGATGGGCAGCAAGCCATACTGCCTAGACTCCTCCTACCCATACCTGTAAGTACCCTCAGCCTGTAAGCAGCAGTGGGCTCTGCCATTAGGCTGGTTCCCCCCTTCTGTAGGTTTCATGCTGGACATAAAGCCTGCATTTGCTGATGAACCACCCTGTTTCAGAGTGTGTGTGTGTGTGTGTGTCTGCCTGTCTTTAACACTTGTCTTCCCTTCAGAACCCAACAATAGTCATTCTGGGTGTGAAGTGATAGCTCATTGTGGTTTTAATTTGCATGTTTTTGATGATTAGCAATTTTGAGCATTTTAAAATATATATATGTTGGAGGCCAGATGTGCACTCACACCTGTAATCCCAGCACTTTGGGAAGCCAAGGTGGGTGGATCACCTGAGGTCGGGAGTTTAAGACCAGCCTGACCAACGTGGAAAAACCCTGTCTCTACTAAAAATACAAAATTAGCCAGGAGTGGTGGTACATGCCTGTAATCCCAGTTACTCAGGAGGTTGAGGCAGGAGAATCACCTGAACCCAGGAATCACATATATATGTTAGATGTTGGATACTTGTATGTCTTCTTTTGAGAAATGTCTGTTCAGGTTCTTTGTCCATTTTTAAGTAAGTTATTTGCTTTCTTGCTATTGAGTTGTTTGAGTTCCTTGTATATTTTTGTTACTACCCCCTTATAAGATATATCACTTGAAAATATTTTCTCCTATCTTATAGATTCTCTCGTCACTCTCTTGGTTGTTTCTTTAACTTTGCAGAAGATTTTTAGTTCTAATTGATTCAGTTTTTTCTATTTTTTGCTTTGGTTGCCTGTGTTTTGGGAGTCATATCCAAAAAATCATTGCCCAGTCCAATGGTCATGGAGCTTCTAGTAGTGCTATATAATTACATTCAAGTGTTAAATACACTTTAGTTGATTTTTATATGATATGATACAAGGGTCTAATTTTATTCTTCTTCATATGGATATCCAGTTTACCCAGAATCTTCTATTGAAGAGACTGTCCTTCTCTTCTTTGAGTGCTCTTGGCATCTTTCCAGAATATCAACTGATCTTACATATGTGGGTTTACTTCTGGCTTCTTTATTCTATTTTGTTGGTTTATGTGTCTGTCTTTATGCCAGTACCATGCAGTTTGAATACTATATGTCTGTAGTATATTTTGAAGTCAGGTAGTGTAATGCCTCTAGCTTTGTTGCTTTTGCTCTGGGTTGCTTTAGCTACTTAGGTTCTTTTGTAATTCCGTGCAAATTTTAGTATTTTCTATTTCTATGAAAAATGTCATTGACATTTTGATAGAGATTGCACTGAATTTGTAGATCACTTTGAGTTGTATGGATATTTTAAAATATAGCAGTACTGTTCATTGTTTGTTTGTTTATTTATTTTTCTTCAACTTTTATTTTGGGTTCCAGGGGTACATGTGCAGGTTCGTTACAAAGGTATGTTGTGTGCGATGCTGAGGTTTGGAGTATGATTGAACCCATCACTCAGGAAGTGAGCATAGTACCCAATAGGTAGTTTTTCAAATCTTGCTCTCCTCTTTTTTTCCCTTTCTTATTTCCCCCAGTGTCTGTTATTCCCATCTTTATGTCCATGTGTACTCAATATTTACCTCCCGCTTGTAAGTGAGAACATCAGGTATTTGGTTTTCTGTTTCTGCATTAGTTGGCATAGGATAATGGCCTCCAGCTGCATCCATGTTGCTGTAAAGGACAAGATTTAATTCTATGTTATGGCTGTATAATATTCCATGGTATATATGTACCACATTTTATATATGCATTCCACCATTGACGGGTACACTGTTGATTCTGTGTATTAGCTATTGTGAATAGTGCTATGATAAGCTTGTGAGTGCAAGTGTCTTTTTGGTAGAATGATTTATTTTCCTTTGGATATATAACCAGTACTAGGATTGTTAGGTCAATTGATAGTTCAACTCATAGTTCTTTGAGAAATCTCCAAACTGTTCTCCACTTTAGCTGAACTAATTTACATTTCCACCAATAGTGTATAAACATTCTCTTTTCTCCACAGCCTCACCAACATCTGTTGTTTTTTGACTTTTTAACAAAAGCCATTTTGACTGGTGTGAAATGGTATCTAATTGTGGTTTTGATTTGCGTTTCTTGATGATTAATGATAATGAGCACTTTTTCATATGTTTATTGATGACTATTTGTATGTTCTCTTTTAAGAAGTGTCTGTTCATATCCTTTACCCACTTTTTAATGGGGTTATTTTTTTCTTGTTGATCTTTAAAAGTCCTTTATAAATGTTAGATATTAGGCCTTTGCCAGATGCATGGTTTGTGAATATTTTCTTCCATTCTATAGGTTGTCTGTTTACTTCATCAGTAGTTTCTTTTGTAGTGCAGAAGCTCTTTAATTTAACTGGATCCCATTCGTCAATTTTTGTTTTTTTTAACAATTGCTTTTGAAGATTTAACCGTAAAGTCTTTTCCAAGGCCAATGTCAAGAAGGGCATTTCCTAGGTTTTCTTCTAGGATTTTTATAGTTTGACATTTTACATTTAAGTCTTTAATTCATCTTGAGTTAATTTTTGTATATGGTAAAAGATAAGGGTCCAGTTTCATTTTTCTGCATATGGTTGGCCAGTTACCCCAGCACCATTTTATTGAATAAGGGGTCCTTCTTCATTGCTTATTTTTGTTGACTTTGTCAAAGACTGGATAGTTTTATTGTGTATGGCTTTATTTATGTGTTCTTAATTTTGTTCCATTGGTCTATATGTCTGTTTTGGTACCAGTACCATATTGTTTTGGTTACTGTAGCCTTGTAGTATAGTTTGAAGTCTACACTAATGTGATGCCTTCAGCTTTGCTCTTTTTGCCTAGGATTGCTTTGGCTACTAGAGCTTTTTTTGGTCCCATATATATTTTAGATAGTTTTTTTTTGAATTCTGTTAAGAAAAGCAATTACAACAAACTAGAAATTGACAAGTGGAACCTAATTAAACTAAAGTGCTTCTGCACAGCAAAATAAACTATCAACAGAGTAAACAGACAATCTGTGCAGTGGTCCAAGAGTATCATTACCATGATTTCAGTTTTTCTAAATTTAATAATTTGCTTTATGGCCAAGCATGTGGTCAATCTTAGAGTATGTCTTACGTACTGATGAAAAGAATGTGTATTCTGTGGTTGTTGGGTGGAATATTCTGTAAATGTCTATCAGGTCCAATTGGCCAAGTGTCAAGTTTAAGTTCAGAATTTTTTTTGTTGTTGTTAGTTTTCTACCTTAATAATCTAATACTGCCAGTGAGGTATTGAAGACTTTCATTATTATTGTGTGGCTGCCCAAGTCCTTTCATAGGTCTCTAAGTACTTGCTTTATTAATCTGGGTGCTCCAATGTTGGATGCATATATATTTAGAATAGTTAGGTCTTGTTAAATTAAACCCTGTATCATTGTATAATGCCCTTCTTTGGCCTTTTCGACTGTTGCTAAAGTTTGTTTTATCTATATAATGACTCTTATTCTTTTTGGTTTTTCATCTGCATGATAGATCTTTTTCCATCCCTTTATTTTGAGCATGTGGGTGTCATTACATGTGAAATGGGTCTCTTGAAGACAACGGATGTTTGAGTTTTGTTTTTTAATTCAACTTGCCACTTTGTGCCTTTTAAGTGGAGGCATTTGGACCATTTACATGTAAGCTTAATGTTGATATGTGTAATTTTGATCCTGTCATCATGTTGTTAGCTGCTTATTTTATAGACTTGATTGTGTAATTGCTGTATAGGTCTGTGAACTATGTACTTAAGTGTGTTTTTGTGGTAGCAGGAACTGTTCTTTCATTTTCATGTTTAGAACTCCCTTAAGGATACATTTTAAAGCTGGTCTAGTTGTAGTAAATTCTCTTAGCATTTGCTTTGCTTGTCTGGAAAGAATCTTTCTCCTCCTTCTTCTCTATTTTTTGAGACTGGGTCTCACTCTTTCACCTAGGCTGGAGTGCAGTGGTGTGATCACAGCTCATTGCAGCCTCAACCTCGTAGGCTTACATGATTCTTCCACCTCAGCTTCTAGAGTAGCTGGGACTACAGGTGTGTGCCAACATGCCTGCTAACTTTTGTGTTTTTAGTAGAGACAGGGTTTTGCCATGTTGCCCAGGCTGGTCTCAAACTCTTGAGTTCAAGCAATCCTCCTGCCTGTGCCTCCCAAAATGCTGGGATTACAGGTGTGAATCACCATGCCCAGCCTATTTCTCCTTCTTTTATGAAGTTTAGTTTTGCAGGATACGGAATGCTTCATTGAGATTCTTTTTTTTAAGGATGCTAAAAATAGGCCTCCAATCTTGTCTGATTTGCAAGATTTCTGCTGAGAAGTCTACTGTTAGTCTGATGAGGTTCCCTTCGTAAATGATCCCACGCTTTTCTCTAGCTGCCTTTAAGAATTTTTCTTTCACATTGACCTTGGAGAATCTTATGACACGTGTCTTGGGGATAGTCATTTTGTGTAGTTATCTCACAGGGGTTACCTGAATTTCTTGAATTTGCATGTCAGTCTCTCTAGGGAGATTGGGGGAATTTTCATGAACTATCCTCAAATATGTTTTCCAAGTTACTTATACTTTCTCCTCTTTCAGAAATACCAATGAGTTGTAAGTTTGATATCTTTACATAATACCATATTTTTTAGGGGTTTTGTTTATTTTTTAATTTTTTTCTTAGTTTTATCTGACTGTTGATTCAAAGGACTGATCTTTGAGCTCTAAGATTTTCCTCAACTTAATCTATTCTGCTGTTAATGCTTCTGAATGTATTACAAAATTCCTATAATAAATTTGTCAATTGCAGAAGTTCAGTTTGGTTCTTTCTTAAAATGACTATGTTATCTTTGCATTCTTGGACTGCTTTTCTGGCTTCCTTGGACTGGGTTTCAACTTTCTCCTGAATGTTGTTGAGCTTCCTTGCCTTCCAGATAATGAATTCTATGCCTGTCATTTCAGCCATTTCAATCCGATGAGAGCTAGTATAATTGTTTGGAAGTAAGGAAACATTCTGACTTTTTGAATTGCCAGTTCTTGTGCTGATTCTTTCTCATCTAAGACAGCTGGTGTTCCTTTATCTTTTTGAAGTTACTACCATTTGGTTTTGACTTTTTTTTTTTATTCTTTTTTATTTTCCTTGATATTTGACTGTGATGTATGTTGAGTACAGGTGGCTTTTTCTTTTTTCCGTCTGTTTTCAGAGGGCCAAGATTCTATGCCAAGTCTTTATTTTTGGCTATTTCCCTCACTCTACACTTAATCCTGTGTGTCTCTCACACACACACTCACTCTCACACACTCACACACACACACACACACACGTATATATTATTCTCTATTCCCCTTACTCTACACTCAGTCCTGTGTGTCTTTCATACACACACTCACACACATACATATTCTCACATACACACACACAAGTATATTATTCTCTATTCTCCTTTCTCTATATTTCTTTATAGCACTTATCGCCAGCTACATTATATGTCTGTTGTACCTCTCCCTAATTAGAATGGCAGGACTTTGCTTTCTACTCTTAGGCTTAGAGCCTAGAATTGTGCCAGTGTGCAGACTTACATGCAGTCAATCCAGCCAGCCTCCCTGCAGAATCTAAGGGAGGTGACCATGTCATCTCAGTTTGCAACTTTAGAACAGCAGGAGCCACCAGCTCCACCAGGCAGTCTAACTATTTTCCAGATGATTCCCATCTTCAGAGGTCTTTCTGATGAGTTTAAACTTATGCCCCTGAAGTTTCCACTCAGGCCTATTAGTTCTGCCCTGTGGGTCTACATAGAACATGCCTTTCAAATACTTGAAGATAGCAACTATGACTCTCTCCAGCTATTTACTGCTTTTCAAGTTAAACACACCTCTCCTTCCATCACTACCCAGGGTTCTAACTGCAAAAAATCTCCTAGGCCCTCACAGGTCCTGAGACTAGTCTGGAAAGCTGCCAGGAATCCACTTAACTACATTGTTCCAGGGAGAGAATTTGCACTGGGGCCCACCCCTAGAACCCATGCTGCTATAGTATGGTGCCATTTTGAAAGCACATACAACAGCAGACTGTATCCCGCCATGGAGACCAATAGCCCCTGCATCTCCACATCACTGAGACCCAACCAATATCCCCCCACACCCACTCAAAGGGCTGCAGCATCATAGTGCTGGCTGGACCCAGTGGCACAACCACACTGCCAGCACCTGAGACCACATAACATCCTACACCCCAGGGAACAGATGGTTCAACACAATAGTTACACTGGCTCAAGGACATACAGAACCAAAGTGTTCTGTTTGAACTCCCCAGAGTTCATACAGAACTCCCAAGTGTGAGCTCCCCAGAGCCTGAGAGCAACCTTCCAGGACCTGCTGCCACCAACAGTAACCTCACTCCCCTCCTGCAGTGGGGCCATGAAACACCATGAATACCACCCAAGGGCCCAGAGACTGACCTGCTCAACCCACTACAGAAACCACCAGCTCCCAACTACCTGACTCAGGAAACGGAACCAGCCCACTTACCAAACTACAGATATTGCCAGCACTTGTGTGTCCACCTGGGGGGCCCAAGGAGGAAACTGCCCAGACAGCATCTATTCTCGGCTTGAGTGACCAAGGACCATCCCACTCAGGGCATTACACTGCCACTGGTGGTGCCTGTGCATCCAACCTGGAGCCCACAGACTAACCCACATGAAGTACATAACCATCACCACCAGTGCTGGCACATTCAACCTAGGGGCCTATGAACCACCCCACCCAGCACATCTGAAACTGTCAAAGCCTCACCACAGCTTTCACAAACAACTACACCTAGAATGCTAAGGACCTCACAGATATCACTAATGTTAATGACAGCCAAAGTAATCATATGGAGATCACATTACAGTGTCCACCCAAAATCAAAGCCAAAGCACCCTAGCCAACTTACATTATAGATACTTCTACAAGGAAATGTTTTTCCTTACAAAAGCAAAATTAAAAAGAAATTAAAAGAAATGTCAGTTACACCATGTGTACATATATCAATGTAAGGACACAAGAAACATGAAAAAGAAGCAAAGAAATACAAAACTTCCAAAGGGACAAAATAATTATTCAGTAACAGACCCCCCAAAAAAGAAATCTGTGAAAGTAATTTAAAATAATGATGGTAAGAAAACACAGAGATACAATAGAACATAGATAAATGTTATGAATAAATCAAGAAAACAATTCACTGTCTGAATGATAAATTTAACAAAGAGATACATATCATAAAAAAGAACCAAACAGAAATTCTGGAACTAATGACACAATGAATAAAAGCAAAAACCCAATGGAGAGCTTCTACGATAAACTAGATTAAGCAAAAGAAAATTTCTGAATTTGAATACTGAACTTTTGAAGTAACCCAGTCAGATGAAAAAAAAAGAAGGAAAAGAAAAAGGGATAAAGACATATGGAATACCAAAGCAAACAAAATTCAAATTTTAGGAGTTCCAGAAAAGATGAAAAAGTTAAAGAAAATTTATTTCATAAAATATTAGTTGAAAACTTCCCAATTCTTGACAGGCATACAGACATCCAGATACAGGAAAATCAATGATCCCTAAATACAGTCAATCCATAAGTGTCCTCTCTGAGGCACATTATAGTCTAACTGTTAGAAATCAATGACAAAGAGAGAATTCTAAACATAGGAAAAGTGTCAAGTCACATATAAGAAAATCCTCATTAGAATAATAGCAGATGGCACCACACAGTGTGGCTCATGCCTATAATCCCAGCACTTCGGGAGGCTGAAGCTGATAGATCACTTGAGGTTTAGGAATTCAAGACCAGCCTGGCCAACATGGTGAAACCCCATTTCTTCTAAAAATGCAAAAATTAGCCAGATGTGGTGGTGTGCACCTGTAATCACAGCTACTCAGGAGGCTGAGACAGGAGAATTTCTTGAACCTGGATGGCAGAGGTTCCAGTGAGCTGAAATTGCACCACTGCACTCCAGCCTGGGTGACAGAGCAAGACTCCATCTCAAAAAACAAACAAATAACAAAAAAAATAGAACAGCTTGCAGCTCCAGCTTGGACAAACAGAGCAGCTTGTGGAGACTTCCATCATAAACTTCTCCAGAACTGCTGCAAGAATATACCAGGAAACCTGAAAAAATCCACAGACCTTCTGAAAGAAGCAGATTGCTCTTGCAAGACCCAGGAGACATGCCAAATACTGTGAGTGCTCAAGCTGTGAAAGTGGATAAAGGAATCATCTGCCTCTGAACACACATACTGATTGGGGAATCTGAAGGTCTAGATCATGGAAGAAGGAATCTACAATGAACCCAAACAAACAAGATAAAAACAAACAATCCCATCAAAAAGTGGGCTAAGGACATGAATAGACAAATCTCAAAAGGAAGTTATACAAAAGGCCAACAAACATAAGAAAAAATTCTCAACTTCACTAATGATCAGGAAAATGCAAATCAAAACCACAAGATACCACCTTACTCCCAAAAAAATGGCCATTATCAAAAAATGAAAAAGTAATAGATGTTGGCATAGAAGTGATCAAAAGGGAACACTTCCACACTGCTGGTGAAAATGTAAACTAGTACAACCACTATGGAAAACAGTGTGGAGATTCCTTTAAAAACTAAAAGTAGAACTACCTTTTGATCCAGGAATCCCACTGCTGGGTATCTACCTAAAGGAAAATAAGTCATTATACGAAAAAGATACTTACAAATGCATGTTTATAACAGCACAGTTCACAATTGCAAAAATGTGGAACCAGCCCAAATGCCCATCAATTAACAAGTAGATAAAGAAACTGTGGTATATACCTGTGATGGAATACTACTCAGCCATAAAAAGGAATGAATTAATGGCATTTTCAGAAAACTAGATGAGATTGGAGACTGTTATTCTAAGTGAAGTAACTTAAGAATAAAAAAACAACCACCATATGTTCTCACTGATAAGTGGGACTTAAGCTATGAGGATGCAAACGCATAAGAATAACACAGTAGACTTTGGGAACTCAGGGGGAAGGGATGGGAAGGGAAGGGGCTGAAGGATAAAAGGCTACAAATTAGGCTCAGTGTATACTGCTTAGGTGATGGATGCACCAAAACCTCATAAATCACCACTAAAGAACTTATTCATGTAATCAAATACCACCTGTTGCCCAAAAACCTATGGAAAGAAAAAATTAAATATATATATATATTTTTTTTAATTAAACAAAATAAAATTAAATATATACAAATAAATATATATAATTTTTATATTAAATATATACAAATAACATATATTTTTTATATATATTTTAAATATATATATTTGTTATTTGTATATTATATACAAATATTTGTTATTATATACAAATATTTGTTATATTTATTATAAAATAACAAATATATATATGTTATTTGTATATTATATATATATATATTTGTTATTTTTATATAATATCCTTTTCCTGGATAGTGACTTTTTAAAGTGCATTCGTGATTTTTCTAATACCAATAGCTTTCCCCCATACTATTTCTAAATGACATCTTTTTTTCAGATTTCACTTTTATTGCCAAACTAGAGTGCAATGGCGAGATTTTTGCTCACTGCAACCTCCACCTCCCAGGTTCAAGCAACTCTCCTGCCTCAGCCTACCAACCACGTCCAGGCAATTTTGTATTTTTAGTAGAGACAGTGTTTCTCCATGTTGGTCAGGCTGGTCTCGAACTCCCAACCTCAAGTGATTGGCCCGCCTCAGCCTCCCAAAGTGCTGGGATTACGAGTGTGAGCCACCATGCCCAGTCAAGTCTTTTTTATAATACACTAAGATTTCAAAGTGTATTGCCTCAGCATAGCCTGGCTTAACTTGAAAGATGCAGGAGAAAGCCTCCCTCTTCCAGATAAAATGTCTAACTTTTATACCTTTTATACTGACAAGTTTCCAAAAAATCATGCATTTAAAGGATAAAGAAGCTGTAACTATTTGACATCAGCATGGTGTGCACAGACTTGCAGAGTATCCTGGATATAACTCCCACTCTCTCAGGTCTCTTTTAAAAAATTAATCATTTTAAATAAAGTATAAAATGTCTTAAGAAAAGCACATGAATCATTAAGTGTATAATCTTATGAATTGTTACAAAATGAACAAGCCCATTTAACCATTATTCAGGTTAAGAAATAAAGTTAACAAAAAATAAAAGCTAAAAAAAATAGAACTTTGTCAACATTATAGAAGTTTGCCTCACTTGTCTTTGCAAATCACTATCCTGATTTCTAATGCCTTA